CCCCCGTCTCACGGGTTTTCAGCATTTCGTCAAGGACATCGGTTCTCGTAAGTGTTTTTTTGCTTATTTTAGATGCTTTGTATGTAGCAACGAGTAATACGTATTCGCTAGGTGCTAGTCCGAGTTCATTGCCTTACTGGCTTATTGCCGAGGCTCAAAAACGCTTGCTCAAACTTTTAAGGATCATGCCAAAACCAGAAGCTTCTTGCTACTAACCTGCATTCCAACTGGCCGACTGCTTTGCAAGACCCGCTGTTGTTTGTGCCAGTCGCAGTCGCGTTGATCCGTGCGTCAGTATTCGTTTCCGATCCGCTTTCCTGTGCATGAATACCCGTTTGGGTTGCGTTAACTTTACTGCCTCCTAAAACTACTAACTCTGCTGCCTAATCTGGGGGCCACACATGTTCCTGATATGGGCCAGTTGATACGAAGGGCTTAAACGCGGGACTAGATAACCTAGTTCCGGGGAATAAAGGCTACCTTACAGTGGCTCCTTAATGCAGTCCTACTACGATCATCGTTAGAATAGTATGCAAATGAGAAAAGCCTTGCCTATTGATGCTTCTGACAACCAGCTCGACCTTACCGAAGGGCGATCTGCCTCGTGTGCCGCGCAGCCAAGACGGCCACTTGCGCGTGAACTAGTTCATAGTGCTAGGAGACTTTTGCGGCATCTGCCGTGCTCTCTGCTCCCTTTCTGTCTTTCATTCGATGACTGGAGTCTGCACGACCGAAGGTAGACTCAAACCAACTGCTTGAAATAGGCGACACAGCCCTTCCACGCGCACCACACATAATCGGCCAACCTACACAAAAAAAAATGGTTTTCACAAAGTGAACACCGACTCTGGGTCATTGAACAGATCGGGGTGAATGTTTTGTCAGCTACTGTGACCACACTTACTCTATACGTCCCACCATTGGAACACGACGAGCATGTGGAATAAGAGGATCGAGGTCCATGGTTTAACTGTGACATCTGTTCACCCTGCTGCCCCCTGTACGTGTGCATCTGTGCTTCTCCCTCCATCCTCCGCAGGTC